TGGATGGATGGATGGCTGGCTGTAAAGATGGAAGGGCAGGAAGATGGATGGGTGAGAGGAAGGGTGGGTGGGTGGATAGATGGATCTTGGTATATAGTGTAAAAGTTTATCTTTTTTTCCTGATTAGAGTTTGGAAGGTTCTCTTTTTGTTTGTTTTTACAGGTGGTGTAGTTAAGGTCAAAGAACTGGACTGGCTGAAGGACGACCTCTGCACAGGTGTGTGTTTCTCTCGGACGTCCCCCAGTATGATTCAGTGATTCCTTTGTAATACCTCAGTGCCAGGGTACAGTAGCCTTGATGGAGCTGTAGCCCCAGCTGCTGCCGCTGTCCCACCCACGCATGGCAGGTTCTCTGCATTAGCCGATGAGCATCAGCGGTCATTCTCCAAGCGCCTGCTGCCTGCTGGGCACATGTTCATTTTGTTCTTCAGGTGTTGTGGTTTCCCTGTGTGGTAGCATGATAATCCCTGAATTGTGAGTGCAGACTGCCTGCGGGCACAGCTGGTACACAGCAGGGTAGGGGCATGGACCCAAGTCTTCCAGACTCTTGGGCACAAACCATTTCCCAACAAACAGTGGTGCCCGGAAGCCCCCCGGGTAGGACAGTTTCCCGTATTTCTTACACAGACTACTTCAGACCTGGGTGCTTGCTCCTTCTTTGTATAAAGATGTCTTTTTTTTCCCGTCAGATGGCAGATGGGGAAAGTCATTCCTTGAGTACCGGTCACCTGCCTAGTACTTTGCGCACTGTAGGCCTTTCGACCCTCCCCGTAGTCCTGTGAGGAAGTAGTACTGTACCCTTTCTGTGAGTGCGAAACTGAAGCCGTTTTCCTGGGCCACCCAGCAGGCAGATGGGGCAGATCACGTCCTGTATTGGGCCACAGGCCAAGGCGGCGGGTGAGGCTGAAATCCGCCTGCTACTCGCTGGCTAGAGCAGACACTCAGCAGAAAAGGCACCTCTTCCACCGTGACTCTGCACATGGGCAGCAGTGGGCCTGAAGCAGGGAGTCTGGTCTGCCTGGCGGTGCCCACTGCACCCAGCTACCCCCAGCCCTGTTTCTTCTCCTGAAGTGCCTTTCAGTCAGTCCCATTGAGAGTTGGTGGCCAGGAGAGAAGGCAATGGGCACAAAGCATGCTTTTGTTCTTTCTTAGATCCCGAGGTCCCCTTCAGTTGGTCACAAGAGGAAATTTCTGACTTGTACAATCACACCACCATCCTGTTTGCAGCCGAAGGTAAGACAATTTCTCCTTCACCGTACACGTCCTTTGTCACAGCATGAAGTCAAGTGCAGTCTCTCCTCACCTCCCCCCGGAGTTCAGTTTTACAGGTGACTTTCCGGGATGTGCCACCACGTCTGCAGTTTT